AGCCTCCCGCCGCCTCCCTGGCCCCTGCTGGCTGAGCCTCTCGCAGCCGTGATTCAGTCCCGGCAGTCCCCCGCCCACAGCCCTCCAGCAGCTTTGCGCCACGGCTGAGGCGGAGGGGTGAAGCGCAGGCTTCCCGCCTCCTCTCCTCCCCCCACTCCCCAGTCGGCGTGTCCCCGCCTGCCTCTGACTTTGTGTCTCCTTTGCTCCCGGTGCTCCAGCCATACTGGCCGGCTGGGGCTCCTCAGACAGCCACACTTGCTCCCCCTTTTGCACATGCCATTCCCTCTGCCTGGAATGTTCTTCTCCCACATTTTTCTGAGACTGGCTCCTTTGCCACTCAGGTCTGGATAAAATGTCGCCTCCTCAGGGAAGCCCTCCCTGACCGCTCCCTCTGAAGGAGCACCTCCTCCCCAGGCATTGTTCGTCCCATTCGTTAGCCCACTCGTTTGTTTTCTTGTCTTGGCAGCAGGTGTCCCCCTCTGACATCATCTTGTATCTGTCTTCCAGCCGCTAAATATGGGGGGTGTGTGTGTGTGTGTGTGTGTCTGCCTGTCTCCCTTAGGACATACGGGAGGGGGACCCAAAAAGCCCGGAATTTTCTTTTGGAGGGTGGGCCCCTTGTAGCACAGGCTTCTCCCGCGTTCTAGGAACCCACTGGCATCAGTGTACCAGCTAGCGTTGTGAGAAGGGGGTTTGGCTTTGTGGAGGTTCTTTTGAGATTCTTGCAACACATTTTCCCACTTCATGATGGTGCTTGGCACGAGCAACCTGCCCACCCTGTGCTGAGAGTTCAGCCGTTTTTTGGCCGAGAACAGCGTGACCTGGTTCCCCACCCTCCCTATTCACCCAGTCTCGCCCCAAGTGACTTTTTTGTTGTTTGTTTCCCCGGATGAAAAAAGTCCTTGAAGGGGAATGTGTTGCTGATGTGGAAGACGGGAAACAGAAACCGTAGAGCCACTAAAAGCCATCAAAACGGATGAGGTCAGAAACTGTTTTGAGCGGCGGAAAAGGTATCAGCGGGGGTGCTCATCAAATGGAGGATTCTTTGAGGGTGACGGACGTTTCAACGTGTAAAGAGAAATACGCAACTTTTATCAATGTTTTCCGGGTTTCGGGGGCCCTCCAGTATATCCCAGGTGTGGTGGTCCAGGGCCAGCACAGGGCCTGGGAGATGCTGCATTGGAATGAGCCAACTCATCCCCCTCCATAGAGGTCGAGGTGGATGGGAGGGCACCCAGTGCTGCTGTCTGCAGAGAGCTGAGGCCTGGGGCCAACACACAGCCCCCTTTCCAAGTGGAGGAGGGGCCGGACTGACAGTGATTCCCCCCAGAGCCACCTAAAATTATCCCCGCTTCACTCTGGGCCATGAGGCTCAGAGAGGTTAGTGAACAACTTGGATGCCCCGCTGCGGAGTGCATTCAACGGAAGACTATTTGACTCCAGACAACACCCAAATGTCTTCTTTTTTTTTTTTGAGTCGGGGGAGGTCTCACTCTGTCACCCAGGCTGGAGTGCAGTGTCACAACACAGCTCACCACAGTCTCTACCTCCTGGGCT